ACGCGGATACCGAAGCAGCTGTTATTTGGTCAGCTGAGTGTTGGGAAGCGGCATGCGTGGAAACCGAAGCTTCGTTACCAGGACCCGATCAAGGTGGGCCTATCGGGTTACGACGTTGATTGCAAGCCATAATAATCAAAGGCGGTTGATCGGCGTGCATGGCACGATCTTATCACGAAGGCGGTTGCCGAGGTGCAAGAGAAAACCCTACTGCATGCGGAGAAGATGCGGCAAATGCGAAAGCGACAGTCGAAAGTGACATCGACGTAGAGACCATGGCACTGTAGCACATGCGGTCGCAAGTGCCTGATTAAGGCAGCTCTAGTGAGACTTGAGCGACGTCATTCAGGACCAGCATGGAAACGACGACGGGTGCTGCTGAGAACGTACGTGGAGCCGGCGCAGCTTTGGTAGGTACGCTTCATTCGATTTATCAACGGCGTGCTTGCTTGCTTGCTTGCTTGCTGTGTCTGTATTTTGGTTGTTGGGTTTGCTATCTTATCTGAGTGCATATGGTTACCTTACCATAAGAATTTCCTGAACGTCCGCACTTTTATTAAGCAAATTGTGTTATAGTGCGCTAACATTCTCACGTTTGTGGCATTTTCTTAAGATATATTTTCTGACCTATTGTACCTAACGCGGATTCCGTGATAACCAATTTATTACATATGTTTAATAAGCGTAGATTTATGTCAGAATTCCTGTGCGCTTTATCCGATACATATTATTAATTATTCTCTTTTCAAGTGATTGGATGTTGGTTGTTATCTCCGGTGTGATTGCGCTTGTTGTGCATGTTGTCAAGGTGCGCACCAGTCTATTACCCACCACCTCGTCCATACTCGCTCCAGGAGACAGTTTGTCGCTGGTGGAGGGTAGGGTTTGCACGGTGTGCTTGGTCATACTAGACTCGTAGAGTGGTTCCATGCACTCATTGTGAAGTGAACTGTGGTCCGGCCACCGCCTTGTGTTCGCTTGATCCCCAAATCCAGCATGCTTGTGTTTTCCTGTGAAGGAGTTTGAACCGGCTCCTTTGACGAAGCTCCGCTCGTATCCGCATGCCTTCCGGTCTTATTCCTTCGGGTTTGCATTGCATATGGGTTGGTGATGCTGCGCAAGCCTCCCATGGTCATTCTGTGTGTGCAAGCGTGTTTTCTCTGTCCTCGTGGAGGCCACTGTGACAGGCAAATCGGGAACCGGATGCTGCCTGCCATATATATATATATATATATATATATATATATATATATATATATATATATTATCTGCTGAGGCTTCCGTTTGCAAGAATGACTACTACTTGATTGATTACTGACGCGTAGTAGGGGTCGTTATATGTAATGGGTTGAAATACATTGAATGTTGACTTAAGTAGTTGGTGTATACTGAACTGGAAAAGCACTGTACGACCGTTGTTTGCTTTCGGGTGTTTTCTGCATTGCGCATTGCATCTGACTTCTGTAGGACTCGAACCCTACTGTTACCAGTCTGTGTTTATGACGACTGAGCTTCGGGGGACTGAAACGGCTGTCATGAATTATACCTGTATCAGTCAACACCCTACTACTCTTCTGTAATTATTACGCACAATAAATTGCTTATATTGCCCAACATTTTATTGTCTTCGTAGGTTTGTTAAGCTCCTCGCCTTTTGACAGGGCTACCCTGTCCTCCGCACGGCAGTAACGTGCGAGTAAGGGATTATTGCGCGGCGTTATATCTCATTTAATAACTTAGTCACACCGGTCGTTGCGGCCCTCCGTAGCTCAATGGTCTCAACCACAGACTGGCAATAGTAGGTTTGGGGGTTCGAGCCCTACAATGGTCAGATGAAATGCGCAATGCTGACGATTCCGAAAGGATGGAACCGCCGTGCCTATTTATGCCTATTCAAGCACTTAATTCCCTCCGTGATTTTAGCTAGACTTGGTGCGAAGTACAACTTCTCAGTAAAGGCTGATGAAATCAACACACCCAGCTGTGGTTAAACACTTTCATTGTGACTCGCTCTCAACAGTGACCTACGCGATCAGTGAGACTGTTGCCACAGACTACACGATTGATAATCGAAAACTCTGCGCCAAATGTACCGTCAGTTAGCCATGTGTTTCATTTGGATCTAATTTTAGGCGGAATATCTGCATGTGAGGCAATCGTCCGGGTAGCAAACTCGAAGATACTACCACTATTTTTGACATAACAATAAGAAGCTACTTGTTGCAAATTGGTACCATTTTGTGCTCTCCGGTCAATTGCGAGACTGTCACTTACAGAACGAAAATACAGCTGGCTAAGGAACAAAGCAGCTCTCACAATAAGCATGGAACAAACTTCTCATTCGATCTCATCAGGTAGAGATGGCACACCAGGGACTGTTGGGATGTTACTTGAGATCTCTACACCTAAGCCCCCAGGTAATGACGTAAAAAGCTTGGCACAAAAGTTAAGATTGTGCCTTGCAATCCAATCACACAACGTGTAGTTCGAAATGATCCCGGAATCAGTTATTTACCGTTGTGCCGAGCGTTGTCTATCATGAGCCGGTGGTTAAATGGAGCAAGGTCCCAAATAGCATCCTAATGGTCCCGGGTTCGAGGCATGTTATCTCTACCTGATGAGATCAAATAAGGTCAAAACGCATTGTGAAGTCCAATGTTTTCGGGCGAGCAACACGATAAAATGTTTGACTTACAGTATTAATGGGCTCACAAACTTAGAAGTTCTTGCCAGTGGGAAACCGTTCTGCATCAAAATAACTTTCCATCTGCAAATTCCATCCCAAGGTGATGTTATTGCTAAGCAGGTAGAACGACACATAGCAGTTGTAATGCGACCTGCATACTGCCCTCTCTTGGCAACCAAGAAACTACCTTTGCGCTTAGTCAAGCTTTGTAAACCGGCCTCCTCCGCAAACCATTGTACTTATCTATCTTTTTCTAATTGTGGGAGCAGTTACATCGGCAAAACAGACCGTTGCTTGTGTGAGCTGATTGAAGAGCACATTCTAAAGCTCGTCGCCACCCTAACAAAGTAAACACAAAGGGGGCCTGTGCCGACGAAGAAGATATCTGCCTCCTCGATGGTCAAAAGTATTATTGAAATGGCTCATCAGTTAGACCCCAAATCGGAGTCAACTGCCCCATATCGTAACACAAACGCCAGAGTCCTCAAGTTTGTCGATGCAGTGGCCGTAAATCAGCATCGTCCAACAACGTGCATCCAAAAGCAACTGGTTGTTACGCTCGAACTCTCTTGAAGTTCGTGATGGTCCCCAAAATTGTAGCCCCCTTTTACTTTTCCTTGCACGTGACCCTCCAATTTCAACTAAGTTATTTGTTGTCACGTTATCCGTTAATGTATCACTTTTTGCAAGTGGTCAGAGAGCACGAAATGGTACCATCCCGTGAAACGCGCCTTCTTATTCACTTCAAAGTACAACCGCTATATTAGCTTATAACTGGCAAGCTTAATACATTCTAACCTGCTATGATCACCACCTGTCTATGGCGACCAGCTAACACCACCTGCGGAAGGCAACTACTTTTTGTCGGTCCCTTGAGTGGTTGCCTTAGACAACTTCGACTGTACTTCCAACCATAAAATGGTGTGCGGGCATCGGAACCTTGTCGTTCGGTACTTGGTTGGTACGTTGAACCCTTCGAAGCCAGAGCCATCTCTCACATCATAGAAGACAGGGCAGAAATACCGGCCTAAGAGTGACGCAACGATTCATTCTGTAGCTCATTATGTGAATACTATTTGTCTACGCATGGTGTGTTCACGCTCATAGGGTTTTGTCCCTGTCTCATATTCAGATAATCGAATTGGAGACACCAGTTTTGCTGCCATACGATGGCCGTGTGGGAGTAATCTCTTAGTAATGGACTAAGACGTGGCAGAGGAAAGTGGTCCGTGGTTTAAACGTTGGTGAAATGCTACAATTTCCGTTAGTATGATAGTAACCAGTCGCAATCAGTATATTTCAGCTCTGCCCACTCAAAACCTACTGCTTTTGGACAAATTCAGTTGAGTTCCGACTCAGCACACATGAGTGCACTGACAGGCCTGCAGACATTCGCTCTGACGTCTGCCGGCCACCAGGTCGCTTCAATTATATGCAAAAAGTGGGTGACGGTTAAATAAACTAAAACGATATCGAAAAGCATCGTGGTTGTGCAGTGTTTTCCGACGAGCAACAGCTAATTTGCATCTGCTTCTGCTTCGGTCCCAGTGGTTGCAGTGACCACATTGAGATTGCTCGTCGTAATGCAATCACTCAACGTGTAATCAAAAATGGCCTTGCAATTATAGGTGACTTGGGTGTCCGGGGCGTTTAAGTGGCATCCAGGGAGTTGATTTTATTTTGCCCTGACAACTACACAAAGAAACGAGACCGACCATGAAATCTGTAGACTCACTGATTCCTTGTTGTTAGTGATAATCGATATTCACGTACTTAGTGTTAGGGCTACTTCTGACGCGCATCTTTCCGTAACACACTAAGGCGTACAAACCTGGCGCCATGTCATGCGTGCAGTCAGCACAATCAAAACCTTGGGTTGGTGCCTACGAGTTATTCGACTGGAACTGCGATTGGAGTGTTCCCATCCATAAAAATCGCAAATGAACGGAGTCGGTCGGAGAACAAGTCACACGAGGAGTCCAGACATGAAGCCTCATTTCATCTAAACCTTAGGCGTCCTTAGCCACTAATGGTGCGCAACGCGACTGGACTATACAAATGGAGTTAGCTGGACGGAGACTTAAACCGGGAACGCAGATATCGTCTGCATACCGCTTCACTTCTGTATCCCCACACACCTCGACAACGCTTGGTCAGAAGATATATTTCAGTCAAAAATATAACTTGCATATACGGGGTGAACCAAATTCCGACAAAGCATAATTCTCCTTTTGAATCGGTATGACAAAGCATTAACTTGAGATGAAAACGGACGGGTTGCTCGGAGAAAGTTGAGTGAGTTTGGAATGCTTACCATCTCAATCATGCGGTCGATGGCTGCAATTCGATCCTGCAATTCTCCCAGAGCAATTGTCAATTCGGCCTCACGAAGACGTGATTCGCCAAGTGCTGTCTGTAGAGCCATCATTTCGGACGAGGGATCTATATTAGACTCCTTCTGTTCCTGGGAATTATGAAAAAAGGATTATTGACGAACCGAAGAACATCGGAATGGTAGTATTTTACAAAAAATTTTCTATTAGTATCACACAATTATTACTAGTTGATAAGCCAGTCAGTTCAAGCTAATGCTGTGAATAGGTCCACTAAACTAACGTGAAGAAGTCAAGAAACATAAAGCGATAGCAATAGGAGGTTTTTTAACACCCGAAAGACTCCGGGTCTAGTACATAGTCAGTTCACTGACATGCGATTAATGTCCTGGATCTTAGCAGGGAGAATGGCGTAACCCAACTCCCATCCAGAGGTCGCCACGAAGAGGCGTCCAGGACATGAGCTCATAGCATGACAGTAGCAGCAGTGCATAGACGATCTGTCAGGATCTAGCCACCACCAGCCTCAGCGCACCGTAGCCTCTCCCGCCATATATATATATATATATATATATATATATATATATATATGTAAAACGCTAATCCTTCTTTACTTTTACTGTGTTCGTTCAAATATCTCATAGACAAAACAATGGTTTTGAAAATAGTTGTCGCTTTGTTGGATCCTTACAAGTCACGACTAATCTATTTAGCACCATCAGTTAGATAGGTGAAGCAGTGGCAACGTTGTTATCACATAGATTTCAACGTTACTTCTCTGTAAAGGCTCCTTACATGGTGTGAAGCTGTCTGTCTTCGGCTTTGTGGAAGGTGGGATCTGTGCCCTGGTTATAGTGCTTTCAAACCCTATGCCGGCAAAGACCGCAAGCTACGCATGTTTCACCGTTAATGCCCACGCCAGCATGCATACAAATATAAGGGAACAATCCAAGTGCTAAAGATTAAGAAGCGATCCAGCCGCCGGTTCGCTCAGTGATTACATGCTTCGGGAATCGCATGGACTTTCTTCACTTCTTTGTGACTAGGAATGGTTGGGCGACATCCTCCAACTAACTTCTAATACGGTGACACATCTATCACCTTCTTTCTGTAATTGGTGGAGAGAACTTTGTTTGTCATTTCTAAACCCTTTAGCAAAATTTGGTCCCTAAATAATTTGTTGAACGTGGATTATCGCGACATAACTGTTTCTATCATGGCAAACAATGCACCGATGTGATGTGTGAAACAGAACAGGAAATCGCAAATTACTGCACGGCCTGAGGTCGTCTTCCCTAACATGTATGCATCAAAATGGTTACCCGTGTTGTGATGGTGGGTTAGTTTACGTGAGTAGAAATTATCTTCAACTACGCTACCAATGGTTTAGGTTTAACTGGTATTAGGACATCCTACGCTGTGCATGCATCCGGACGACAGAGCCTGACATTGACTGAACCCACCATCTAATCTATGCAAACTAGATTATTACGAGAAGCGTGTAGATTGATAGTTGCGAGATAGAGATGATTTGAACCGCAAGAGATTACCATCTCTTTGGCCTGTACCCAAAAGATGCGCTATCGAATAGACGTGCCGTCGCTGAAGGGAGCGAGATGGTTGACATTTAAGGTACCTAGAAACTAGTATGGTATACGAAATCAGCAATTCCGTGTTCACGTTCACCTGTTGTTATACACTTGTTGTTATACTTTATTGCCATCTGAAGCCAGGACTATTCACCTGGATGGCCACTTCGGTATGTTCACGTGGCTACAGTTTTTAAGACCTTGCGTTTCTTGCTTCCGACTGCATCGTCGTTTGGCTTCCCAACGTGTGATGTGCAACCTTTTTTTCCTTAGTATGCATCATGTTAATATAAGTCTATTGCGTTTAGCAGATCGTACGCGCTGCTCAGGCTTATTACATGAATTCAGTTTCCCATACAAGTTACGTCCAACTGGAGCCCATGTAGGTTTAGGTAAAGTTAAGGCAATTTTCTGCATTATGAGTTAGTTCCTCTAAAACTAGTACTGATTTTATGACGTGATTTAGAGTGAGACTGAATATCAAACAAGCGCCCGAACGCGCATAATCCATGCTCTAAACTAATCAAATACAGGAAGCTCAAAAACCAGAATATTTGTCTACAGTTATGACAATCCTAACTGCGTGGGATTGACATTTTAGGCGAGCAAATTGCTCGCATTTGTCCAGTACTCATACGATAGTTTTCGTGACATTGAGACTTGAATAAAAACTTACTCGACGCAGATTTGTCAATTGTTCACGATAATCATCCATTGTAGTCAAGATTTTCTCGTTTTCTTCTAACAAGCGGGCAATTTGCGATCTGAGAAGATCCGTCAGTTCTTGATTAATGTCACTCTGCAACTGTGCTGGGTACGATTCCTCTTCGAATGCGTCTGATTCCACCGGGTTGTGTGATGTTAGACTACGCCGCATCGGTTTCCAATCAGACGCCATTTCGTACTTTCGGCCGCCGGTAGAAAGCGTCTGTGGCCGATGGGCAACTCGATCAGAAGATAGTCCTGCTGCATGGGCAGAATTCCTCTTAGGATTTGTGGTGACCATTCGCCGACCTTCCGTATCACGATGGCGCGATGACATTAATAAGTTTGGAGAGAACTATGAAGAAAGAGAAGGATGCCAGTGCAAATAACTGCCGACCAAATATTGAAGCACAGTATCAGACATCCTTAGCGGCGTAATTTTTCAAAGGCTGGATTTACCTCTAAACGATCAACAATAATGACTAGATTACGGATCGGAGGGCAAGAAACTGCATTACTACTTTAACCCGGCTCTGGTACCACCTTTGGGTACCACGGAGTCCAACTGACTCCACCGTGGAAAACGTGCTATAAAACCAGAACAACGTTTCTGACTCATGGCTATGTAAACTGACTTATCAGCCGTCATTCGCCCAACTAAATGCCTTACATTTTTGACTAAAAGAAGACAGAGTTAATGCAGACTCCATGGCACCTGAGCAGGATTTAATACGGAGGTCTCCTTTACAAGAGAGGAATTTGAATTTGAAGTAATCATTTCCGTGTTTGTAACAACATGCTGTCGCAATCCAACCACATGGAAGGTACTCTAATTCAAACTTGGAATACCCCGCTTCTGTACCAAATGTTACCCGCGGGTCTCAGCTGTATAGTAATCAAGACGTCAGCCGTTAACCACTAGGCCCCGAGTTCCACCCCAGTTCAAGCTATCCCCACCTGATAAGTCCAACCGAGGACGAAACCGGACTTCCTTGGGCTTTGCTGTTGGAAACGGCAACATCGAAACCCCATCAGAAGAAACGAGGTCTACTCCAAAGTCAACCGACGTTTCAATTAAGATTGCCTGTCGCAATACAACCACACGGCAGGTACTCTAAATCCAAATTTGAACAACCTGTTCAAACTGGCCGTCGCAATCTTCATCCTGCCTTGACATGTGCCCAATTGTTCCTGCTACATCCAACTCCCTTTTTCAAGTTTATTTTAAGACAGCTATTGCTAGAAAAAAGAGATCCAATCAAGTTTCCTTGTTGACGACACCAAACCGAGAGATGTAACATGTTCGACATATCTGCTGAGCTAAATTAATCAAGCGAAACACTAAATCATGATTCAGAGTGCATGAACTTGGCAACTACTGATGGGTGTTTGTGTTACTATGACCAGGTTCGACCGGAACGATGAGTCAGGCACTCGTTTTTGTTTAATTATATGTGATCTTTGGACCACAAAGCCCACTAGCAACATTGTGTTCAAGAACCTACGAACTCGATCACAACTGTGTGGCCGTGGTGCTGTCACAGCGCTTGAGTTAGGAAGTGACGTTTGCGTTAGCATGGCCCGTAATGTCGAATGTAAATCGGAAACTGTAACCATCGAAGACTGAACTCCGAGGCGGCAAACGCATTTTACCTATTCATGTTCGTCCATCATGAGAACAGCACAACCGGAGAACATTGTGCGGATGAGCAATGTCGGAACTAACTGATGGACGTTTCCGGGTACTCTTCTCCGCAGTGTAGCATTGAGCGTCCTGGTCTTGTTTGTTCCCGACGGAAGGACATGAGGCCGGTTGCTATGGTACCATGGGTATATCGATCTGCTGTTATAGCAACGGAAGACGCCCTCAACCAGCTCCCACCCAACTATTAGATGTAATCAGTGGGTGCGTATAGGTTAGCGGTGAGATTTACCAGTTCACTGGGCTAGGGAAAAAATAAGCCATGGAATTTACGATAACCACGTAATGCACTGAGAACGGGCTATCTTGTGCAGACGGTTCCAGCTGTCTGTAATGATGATGTGCGTAGGTGAATACTAGACGGTGATAAACAAGCTAGTGCCTTTGAATAACTGATATCACTGAATAAGTTGCGCTGATTTGGGCACGTAAAACGTATGCCTGGTCACAGCTTACCTAGAACGGCCTTGTTCAGTCTGCCAGATGTAGGGTGGCACAAGGCTTGATGTGGACAAAAGTTGAGTTGGCAGCGTGCAATGAAGCCACTGACGACCAAACTGGTTGCTGTCGGCCCGTCTCGCCTTCCGGGCTGGTGTCCACTTCACCCGCCTTGTGTTTGGCTTAAGACTTTACAGGACATGGCTCGAAGTCGACACCAGTGACCAGTCTGCTGCCGTCTCTTAGCCGGACTGCCTATTTAAATTGTATTTGGTACTGAGTTTGCTGTGGGGTAATGGTTGCTTATAACGAGGGGCAGTGAAACCTGCAAGTAATCTGTCTCACTGATGCCGCCTTAGTTTTGTAAGATAGGCAGCTGTTTTTGACGATATATTGTTAGCACAAGGTGTAGGCGCTTTGATCCTGAATGATTGCTTAGGACATGAAGCTCTTTCGATAACTTCCCCTTCTCTCTCTAAGTATCAGTCTGACTGAGGCTAGCGACCTCCGGTCGGTTATTTTTTGCTGTTGACAAGATTACTTTGTGTCGGATTTCTTCATTCATTGGAAGTATTTCGTGGAAATTTAACTACCATTCAGTTTCATATCTGATTCTGAATTTTTCGACTAGAAAGACTTTATTTTCACCGCTGGTTTCGGCGATCTAGTTATAGTCATTTTCTCCAGCAATTGGTCGCCATCTTGCTTTCGGATTTTTCACGATGTCGAAGCAATCACCCCGTGGTACTTGTTCCAAGGTAGGCGGATACCGTACAAATGCCTTCACTTATGTTTTGTTCCAAGTTAAATTCCACATTTCTTGTGTTAGATTATCAGATGAGCATTTTCCTCATCTTCGTGAAATCCAACACGATTTCGTTCAAAATTTATGTGAAAATTGCCGAAACAAAAACAGTCAGCAAGAATAAAGCCGACGTGTAGGCTTCATCATTCCGTTGTGAACAGCTCCGTGTGTTTGGCCCAACAACCTAGCCAGAAGAGCCTTCAGGTTTCAGCTCAGTCTTCCTCCTCTACCCATGCAAACTCACCGACACGAAGTCAAACCGTTGTGAGAAGTCCAGTTTCACCTGGCGTAAACTGTTTGCCTTTGGTGTGTCCAACTGTAGAGGGGCCGCTTCCAAGAATGGCTCTGGGGAGCTCTTCGGAGCTAGCTGAGAGCGGATCGCGAAAGACGGCTAGCGACGAGCCTGGGCCCGGAACTACGGAGCGGGAACATGTGGACAGCGCAATAAATCAGACAAATACGCCGCTAGCGCAGCCCACAGCACCGAGGCCGAGCCGATTGACACAGCCCCGAACAAGCAAGTCCAGAGCTCTCGAACGACTCCTGGCCGATCCAAATCGGGTGCAGAGAAGCGGAGATCGAGGCGAAAACAGGAAGACGGATCTTCCAAGTCAGAGCTCCCGAGGCGAAAGGATCCAATCACAAGCTACGAAGTGCGGTCGTGGTAAGGCCCGCGTGTACGCGATGCCACACTACTCCCCCTCGTCAGCGGTTGGTTCACTGCGGTGGCCCTCGTTTCAGGACATTGCTTCGGTTAACGTGCTGAATATAGCTGTCTGGCGTTGACTCGTCGGCCGTCTGCTAACTCATACGTTCCTGGCCCTAGCGCACGAGTAATTCTGATGGGTCTCGTCAGTGCCGGTTCTCCTTTACGTGTTTGCCTTTCCTTTAGCCTGACCGACGTTCCAGGACGCAGCGATGTGGCCCGTTTTTCGTAGGATGACTGATATCCCCGGCGACGTTCCAGTTGGTGGGGGTCGTTGTTTTCTGCAGCCGAAATAGCTGCGTTTAATTTCGTACGCAACTTCCTGCCAAACATCAGCTCACCTGGCGTGCGATCAGTCGCTCTGTGGTGCGATGTTCGCTGAGTAAACAGAGCCTCCAAAACGGAATCTTCCCACTGCCTGCCGGACAAACGTGCGGTCTGTATAGTTTCCTTTAGCGTGCCATAATGCGCTCAACCATGCCGTTGGCAGCTGGGATGTACGGGACAGTATGTACGCGCTTCACATCACGAAGCTGTAAGAAACGTTTAAACTCTTAGTTCCTAAATTGTGGTCCGTTGTCTGTCACAATTTCCTCAGGAAACCCAAATCTAGCAAACAGATGTTTCAGCCACCTTATAACGGTTGAAGTGGTCACATCGCCACACAAATGGATTTCCGGCCACTTACTGTAATAGCACGTGGCAACTAAGTTCCTCTGGTGCTGTGGCGCAGAATGAAACGGTCCCATGATGTCAATCGCCACCTTCGATCAAGATTTCATTGGATAAGTTACAGGTTGGATGGGGGCATCGATTGGTTTGGAGCTCTTGTCGGCCGTTTGACATGCATCGCAAGACCGGACACACGCCTCTGCCATTTTATTCATTTTTGGCCACCAAAGGTATTCTTGAAGTCGGCGCTTCGTCCGTACGTATCCGGATATCCCTCGTGTGCACATTAAATAATTTTTGATGTCAGTTTCTGTGGATCTACGAATCGCGATCCTCGCATAAGGCAAATCGTCAACGACCGCTAGCTCATGTCGTAAAACATAAAACGCCCGTAGTTCACCACTCAACTTCGCGTAGCGAGGCCAGCCTTGTGAGATAGTGAATGATATCTTGCACATTTGAATCACTCCGGTTAGCTTCTTGAAGCTCTTGTTTAGTAACCGTGGAGAGCTCACTTGAATGTAAAGCAGAAATCATGCCTTTTTCTTCTTCGTCTTCATTCTTGTCGGAATCATCCAATGGGAGACGCGATAAGCTATCTGCCATACGCTACTCGGAGCTAGGGCGGAAGATGAGTTGAAAATCAAGGTTCAGTAACCGCGCATACCAGCGGTTAATCCGTATTGGCCTGTGACCATTAGTTCCTCGGCTGAGGAGGGTAGTTAGAGCAGCATGATCCGTGCGCAATGTAAATCTCTGACCAAACAGAAACAGGTGCCATTTTTCACAAGCCCGTACACAAGCCAGGGCCTCCCTTTCACCTGCGGAATATGAAACTTCAGTAGGGGATAACTTTCTAGAAGCATATGCAATCACGTTCTCCTCACCGTTCTGAATTTGAGACAAGACCGCTACTAAACCAATGTTTTACGCATCCGTTGAGACGAATGCTGGGTAGTTTTCGTCGAAAATGGCCATCATTGGGGTGGAGACGAGGCGTCTTTTAATTTCTTCAAAGGCCGACTGCTGCGAAGAGCCCCAATTGAACGTAGCATTTTCTTTTGTCAGCATTCTCAATGGCTCCGCTATAGTTGCAAAATCGGGCAAATAGCGCAAGTTGTACGAGCATAAACCAAGAAAGTGCTTAACCTCGGATGTATTCTTCGGTACGGGGGCTTCCGTGATAGCTCGAGTGTTAGCTGCGCAAGGTCTAATTCCACCAGCTGATAAGACGTACCCAAGAAACCCGACATCCGTAGCACAAAATATACACTTTCCAGGTTTAGCCGAAGATCTAGGCTCTCCAAGCGCTGCAACACCGCGCGCAGCCTTGAGTCGGGCTCATCCCTTTGTTTTCCCGAAAACGCATATATCATCCATGTAAGCGATTTGTCTAGGTAGATCTGCTAGTGAGTGATTCATAAACTTCTACCAAGCAGCTGGAGCGGAGCTAAGTCCCATCGGCAAGACTTTATACTGGAATAGACCACTCGATGTCAGAAAAGCCGTAAGTGGGCTGGATTCTGGTGTCAATGGCATGTGGAAAAAGGCCTTTCTCAGGTCTAGTTTTGAGAAAAATCGCGCGCCAGTTATCTCGACCAACAACTCGTCAACTTTGAAAAGAACGACTTTTTCGACGCCGATTTGGCTGTTCAACGCTTTCAAGTCGTTGCATATGCGCACAGTACCGTCCTTTTTTAACACCGTGAACATGGGATGCACCCATTCGGAACAGTTAACTGACTCTATCAAATCGTTGGAAAGCATCTCTTGTATGGTCTTTTCTACCATCGTACGTTTGGTCAATGGAATAGGACGTGGCTGCGAAATCGAAAACGGTTTAGCGTCCTTTTTAAGGCATATTCGATGAGCAGCAGATGGAATCCGGCCAATCGACTCAGCAAATAATTTGGGATATAAGCTTTTAAGTACTGATGTTTTGATTGTCATGATGCGCATTCGCTCGATAGATGGCGTTATGTTGAGGGCAACCATAGCATTTCGCCCCAGCAAGGCTGGACTGTCTTCGGAGGCAACATACACAGCTACATCAGATGCGACTGAGAGTAAACTGAGTTTCGTCATTATATATCCCCGAATTTGCACACGTGAATTTGTGTACGATCCGAATTTATACGACGTAGGATGTAATGGAATGTCTTGCAGGTAATGGTCGTAAATGCTGGACGGGATAATTGTTATCGGCGATGCCGAGTCTAGCTCCATAGTCACTGGTACAGAAGTGTTAAGCCCATGGAATGTAACGGTACGTATGTCAGGAGCAGGGAGCTTGGGTTCCAGCGAATCAATTCGTCGTGTTTCTGGTTGTTATCGTCTTCTGATAGAAAAAACATTCGGTGTAGTCGGTGAGGTGGAAACATCATTTTGTTGGTCAATTAACGCGACTCGACGTGAGTGGCAGCATCTGGCGAAGTGGCTAAGTTTACCACAGCTTTTACACTCATCTGTACGAGCCGGACATGTTTGACAGTCAGCTTTGTGGCGAGAACTACCACATCTATAACACGAAACAGTCGAATTCTGAGGTTGACTAGAACACTTGAGCTGAATCTTACTGACTTCTAGTATATCACTCGACTTGAATAGGCTCGAATGTTCAACGGCGGCTTTTATTAGTCTTGCGATCTCTATGGCTCTCTCCCAGGTAAGTTTTGACGGATCTTCGGAAAGTAGCTTTTCGCGTATACGATTATCCTTTATACCGGTTATCAACTGCTGCGTCAGCAAAACACTCTAAAGTTTATTCTTCGGGATGCTAGTGTAGTCACAGGATTTTACAGACCGAATTAAACGAGCGACAAATTGTTCCAGTGGCTCCGCATCTTCTTGCCTCAAACAGCAGAACTTGTAGCGTTCAGCGAAAAGGTTTGGCCGTGCACCCCATGAATGATCCAGTACATCTAATGCCTTTGTAAGTGTGTCGCATTTCTGCAGATCTAACGCATCGAAATAACGTTGACCTTCATTGCCCAACAGGTGAGGAAGTAATTTCAGTTTTGGCTTCTCATCGTAAGTAGTAGTTGCTGGGAGTAGGTCCAAGTAATTCGTGAAAGAGGTTCTCCATTGGATCCAATCATTCCCCCTAGGTCTAGTAGCAGGATCGCACCAAAAGGCTTCTGGAGTTAGTAGGTGAAATGCCATTGTACTGGTCCACAGCCCAGACGCCACTGTTGTATCTACACGTACACTAGTCCCCTGCGCGCAGGGTCTTGAACAAACACGACCAAAGCCCCGAACGAGGAAGCAGAACTCTACTGGTACGCAACACAAACTTCTATTCACGCCAACGGTACATGCACTCAGTATATTCAAAACAACCCTGGTATTGATCGTGAACGGACAGGCATCCAATCACAAGCTACGAAGTGCGGTCGTGGTAAGGCCCGCGCGTACGCGCTGCCACAATAGATCAATACAAGGTAAACGAATTACCCATCTTAGAAACAAGGCGATCAACCAAGCCGACCTATGAGGGTCATTTTGTGGACGAAGCCAGTTCAAAAATGATCTTTTCCCGCCTAGGTAAATTGAAAGTTTTGTATATCCTGGTTCCTCCAGACCTATACGCAGTAGACCGGGAAGAGCTCAAGTCTGCCATCATTGACCTGGAAAGGGGTATGGGTAATGCGAAACATATCTGTCTATCACAAATGTTCGAATGGTTTCCAAGCATCTACGAATTAGGATAAACAGACTAGTGACACTTCAAGCATGCCAGGCGGTTCCTGCGGCGGCCTGCGAGTA